TGGCGTTGCTCTTACCTTCACTCATTGAAGCACTGGCTGCCACAGGAGGGGGCCTGAAGTGCAAGTTGCAAGATTCATGCGGAACCTGACAGTCCGACCCAGCTGGAAGGTCACATCTCAGCATTCGGGGGTTGAAGCCTGCGGTACGATATGAGTTTGCACACTGGCTCTTACGGCACTCGGCCTTCTAAGTGGAAGTCGTCACCTGAGAGGCGTACCGTTGGCGCCTGCTGCAAAGATGCCTAGCCAGCGAATGCGATAGAAGGCAATAGCTGAACGAAGGAGAAACTCAGGGCACCGAAGCGGCTCTTAGCCTCAGACAGCAAACGCAACATGCATCGCGCAGGGTTTGCTCTCCCAGTGAAGCAATAGGAAGCGTCCCAAAACGTCCCAAAACTGCAATCACCGGGCCATCAGCATTCCATAAGGTTCTCGGGACTGCGAGTAAGTCTTCTCCTGCCAGGACACTGTGTCCGAACTTCGTCGCAAAGTTTCACAAAAGCTCGGCTTGACGGAGGGCAAGGCCTAGAAGACTCCTTGCCCCCAACAGCGGCTCACGGCCCGGGCAAAAGCCGCTACTCATGCTCTCCTTGAAAGCCATGGCGAAGGCATGCAAGCTCCTGGACCCCCAGGGGACCTGCCTCCCCGACGATTGGCTAGCAGAGGAGCGTCTAGCACACTGGCTGTGCATGTTCAATCGGCTGTCTTATTCTTGAACATCGGGACATCAGCACTCCGCCTTTCCGGCATTATGTCGCCACATGACCACATGGTGCAGAGAGTTGCTGCATGTTGCAGCGGCAGCAGAGGCATATAAAGCATAGTCTCAGGAGCTACATGACGCCGTGCTTACCGGCGTCCTTGCGCCTCGGCGGTGAGCAATGGAGCATCTGGAGCGTCTGAGAGGACCGTAACTTGTCCGATATTGTGCTTGTTTGGGGACTCCGCCTCGAGGTGCGTGTGGCCAGATTTCGCCTGAGCCCTCCCGACGACTTTGGCTCGTTGTGCGTGGAGGGCTTCGGAGACATGCCAGCGTGGCTGCAACAAGACAGCCTGTTCTAGGAACGAGAGGCAACTAGATGAGTTGGCATGAGACATTGCTCACCCTTTCCAATGCCGCGTGCAGCCTCGAGTCGACTGGCGTTTCTCCCTGAGAAGGGCCTTGTTCCAGTCTTCGAGGCAGTTTTGCCTTGTTTGTCTGGGTCAGGCCCGAGAAAGGAAGCACATCGATGGCCAATGATGCCACGAATAACTCACTAGTAGCTGCAAGGGGCCGACATGCTCTTTGCAACCTTCCAGCGAAGCCTTAACTTCACTTGTACTAGAGTTAAACGTGGCGCGGACATGATTCGGAGGTTGGAAGGCGGGCACGGCAAGCTTTGAGTTCAGGTCGGCCAAATACATGGAAATCAAGAACGGTGGACAGATGGCGATGAACAGGGAGTCGCAGCTGCAATGCCCAAAGATGGGAAATGAGGGCCGATTTTTGGGAGGACATGTCTTGCTTTGCATGAGGAGTTGCGGTGACTTCTTCTACAGTGTAACTTCTTATGCCGGCGCTGCTCGCATCCGACATCTGAGGATCAGCAGGATGGGCGGGCCGAGTTGGAGGACACTTTAAACCCTCACCCTAATCATTTGGCTCCCTGCGGTGCGGCCTAGTCAGCTGGGCGGGTGGGAAAAATCATTTGGCTCCGCGATGTCTGGAGCGTTTTGGAAATTTTTGAGAGTTCCTGAATTTGTGACAGGATGCCTTTTCAGACGGCGATCTTCCCGTACAGCTGCTGGTCTCCATGCCTGCAAGTTCTGGGTATGCCCATTTTATTTATGCATCTCGCTTGCATTCAGCGCATTTTTTCGGGCTTTACCCACAGAAAGGGAGCCCCAGGTTGCATGCGCCCACAGTGGAATGCGGCATCCTCCCGTGCCGCGGACCTGTTTGCCCGATCGCCGATGCCCTTGAGGTGAGGCGCGGCTCGAATGTGGCGACAGTGGAGGCGAACAAGGAGGACCTTTATTCAGCGACTGGGGCTGGGCTCGTGCCGTGCCGCTGCGGCATGCAGAGACTGAGCCTTGACACGGCCAGCTGCATCTCAGGTGACCTTGGACTCCCAGAACATGACGGTGGAGGCCTGTCGAAAGTCTTAAGACTTCGAAAGTTGGATGGCCAGCTGCAATTCGTCCTATGCTCTCAAGCTGGGTAGGACATCAATGCATGACAGGTTGGACAGGGCGCTGACCGGAAGACATGTGTGAAGTTGCCGAAAGGCGTGGCTTGGGCAGAAGATCTGAAGGGAAAGAGTTCGCATGCTTCAAAGCAGAGAGAGAGAAGGGATGCAGCTACAGGCAAAGGTGGTGTAGAGCGACCCTAGCGGCCCTAGCCCTAAGCCCTTCTTTGAAGTCTTTCTGGCTCGTCACTGGCGCCGAGGATTGTCCGCTACGACTGGGCGTTTATGTCTACAAAGCCGGTGAGGTTGCCTTGAAGGACACCTCCAACTGCGCTGAAAGGCATTCTTTGGAAGAGAGTGAACCGGCTTCTTCCCCTGTACCGGCATGCCCCCCAAAGCTAGAGAGCCAGACACCATGTCAGTAACAGGACCCGGCCATTCGCACTGTAGCTTTGTCGACAGTTCGAATTGCCGGATGTCCGGGTGATAGTTTGTTCCCAGCGATCCAGTACGCCCCTGCATCACAGCAGGCGTCTGTTTGCAAGCGATGCCATGCAAAATGGCTACATCAGCATGTGCCGAAGTGGCCACAAGTTTCAACACTTGCTTTGGCCGAGCTGCGGCAGAAAACGGAAGATAACACCGCAATTCTGGCCATGGTGCCGAATGCCTCACACACACACACAAACACACACACACACCGGCCTCAGCTCGGGGGATCGTAGCTTTGTGGAAGTATGCTTGAGTGGATGTCATCGCCCACTAGGCCGGTTCGTTTATCCCTAGTTTGGGCGTTGCTGCTTGCATATGGACCTGTAGGCCAGCATGCAAGAGGCATTGATGTACTTCTTTAGGGCTGCTCCTTGAAGCGAGCACCTGCAGCTTTGTTTCTGAGAGTGAATGGGCAAGGCCATTGCTCAGCAGAGACAAGCCGGCCCCTTCTAAGCAACACTCCAAGCATCCCCAATCCCTTCGCACACTGCCAAAGCACGAATCGGCCGATCAACTCGGACCTTGATCATGAAATCATGATGCTGGACTTGGTGCTCCCATGTGTGATCTCGAGACTGCTCGCGCGGCTTGGCAACACTGGGAGAGGAGAGCCCGTCTGGAGTCTGCAAGAAGGGGATTTGAGAAGTTGACAGAGTCAGAGGGGAGCGGCTCCTTCAAAAGGACTGGAAGGAAGCTTACCCTTAGCAAGTGCTTTAGCCAAAACTTGCGAGAGAAATTTCGAGAAGGCCACCGCAGCAGCCAAGCAATCCGAAGTGACCGAGGGTGCAGAGCAGGCTGTTGCGGAGGGCCGAGGGGAGCAGCCGCTCCAGCAGGATGACAAAGTTAAACACTTTAGACTTGGTGCCTGAAACTAGCCAAGGAGGTAAGCCATGCGAGAAGAATTAGGTGTGGTGAGACAAGCGGGCAATTCGTTCGTACGGGACAACAGAAGGTTAAGAGTGGGGGGGGGGGGGCGACCTTTCGGGAGGTGTGAACAGAACCAAGGGCAACTTTCTGCTCGAAGACTCTTCGAAAAGTCGAGTACAGGGCAAAAGCAGGTTAGATTGGCGCTAAAACTTGCGAGGCCTCAAGCTGAGACCGTCTCCCATTGCAGAGAACTATTCTGATGAGCCGAGGAGAAGGCCAGAGACCTCCATGGCTCTGCGAGGGAGCGCCTTGCACACACATTAACCTCCGTTTTTTCGGGACTCAGCACTGATTGTTGCTTTGGTGCCGTTGTCTCAGCACTCCGTGGGCTCGACTTATTACGAGAGGGCAGACAGTACGTATCCTGACGAAGTGGCACTCTTGCATTCGGGGCCGCGCTTCGGCCCTGCACGGAAGAGGACCTAGTTGTACCGAAAGTTAAAAGACCCGAACGTCGACGTTTCATGAAAGCTGTAAGCAGTCCTACAGTAGCTCTACAAGCGAGAGATAGAGAGAGAGAGAGAGATTATGAAGGCATAAGGATGTTCCATCTTTGTCTTTTCTTGATATAGTATTCTAGGGGAGCCAGTGAGTTTCAAAGGGAACATCCGAAGTCAGTCCTTCCTATCAGTTCGGGGGAAAGCACCTGTACTAACATAATTATCGGTCTTACAGGGGTTCAAACTATGTTGTTGAACTGTCTATTGCTCAGAACTTTTGGCCAACTCCTACTCGTGAAGAGCGGGACACAATCTGTAGGAGGGGGACATCCACCCTGTCGGTACTTTCTAGTCCATACCTCATTCGTTTGGCAAATTACCGTCAACTTGGCAGGGGGAGGGTGCGCCCGTCTCCATGCATGTTTCTGTGGAGAATATACGATCGCCTGATCTTTAAAAGTATATATATATATACTATGGCCTTAGCCACAACAGGTGATCAGATATTCGTTTCTCACTCCCCGCAAACCCAATAAAGCATTGGGTGGGCCACTCGGCCCGGGGACGCTGACCCGTCCCCAAGCCCAGGCGAGAGAGAGAGAGAGAGAGAGCATATGGTGACCTATATTCGTTTCTAACTCCCCGATGCCCAATAACACATTGGGTGGGCTACTGAGCCCGGGGACGTTGACCCGTCCCCATGCCCAGGAGGGAAAGAGAGATAGAGAGAGAGAGAGAGAGAGAGAGAGAGATGCCGCAGGTGGCTGCGAAAGATGCCCGAGGATGTTCGAGCGGATCGCCAGGCCCATATGGGTTTCATCGTTTTGCCGCCAGATTCTGATTCAAGTCATTTTGAAAAACTTTGCTTGTGAGAAAGCGTGCCTTTCACACAAAACCCAAAAGGACAGGCACGATGCTAGAAGCGGCATGACGGGCTCGCCGATGTCGACCCTTGTTTGGCAGCCTCACTTAAATGCTAAACTTCAAACAGAGTCAACATCGGCATCGGAAGCACGCTCGTGACCCTCAGATCACCTCCAACGCGAGCAAGTTTTGCACATGTTCGCCGAATGAGCTAGGTTGTGCTCACCATCGTCCAGAAGGCCTGCCGAATGCGACCGAAGCAAGACGTGGCTCGCTCTGTTGGCCAGTTTGGAGAGAACCTAAACAGGATGGCCTGGCATTGGAATGGGCAGCACGAGCTCTCCAATCAGACAAGGACTTTGCTTCACGCGTCAGCCTTGCACTTGAGAGATTTTTCACCTACAAAGGCAAAGACCAAGGGAAGCCCTGCTTGTGGCTCAGTGTGGGTGGTCTGCGTGCTATGCCTTGCAGCATAAGCAATATACAATTTCTCAGAACATTACTAGCAGACTACTGCTAGCAGTTTCCAGGGGTTGTGCCACAAATGATGACCAGTGGACTCCTCGCTGGATCCAGCCCCTTTCAAGCAGCTTTGGTTCGTGGCCACTGCAAGGCGTAGGTGCATTAACGCTTATGCGAACCAGGAGGTGGTGCTGGCTGCTGTGAAGAGCCTCCGTCAGCAGTGTGACTCTGCAGCTCGCGACTTCTGCCAAATGCCGCCATACACCTCATGCATCCTGTGCCATTACACCGAGGAAAGGTGCGTTCGCCCTGCAGTTCGCCAGCCCTTCCTTGCTCCGTGACCGCCTCTTCGTGTTGGCAGCTGTGCAGTGCAACGGCTCCGTGGTATGATTGTACTTGAGTTTTGCACCGAAGCTTGTATTGTCGGGACAGCGGTGAATCGGGGATATATGCTTGGCATGGGACCTGACATCAAGCTTTTGGGACGGCCGCGTGCTGACGCCTCCTCGTTTTCGGTCGTAAGTTGATTCCTCGCAGTGACATCTTTTGGACACCTTGCTCATCCTTGCTCGAAGCTGGCAAGACTTGGCTTGAACAGTATGTACTGTAGCACAGGTCAAGTTGCCAAGCCCAAGGGTGAAGAAACCTGCACCCAGGGAAGGCACATGCCGAAAGGTCCCTAGGTGCAGGAGGCGGACAGTCAGCAAAGGCATGGAAACAACCTTGGGTGAGACGACTCTGTGTCCAATGTTGTTCAGTGTATAGCGGAATGTGAGTTTCTCAAGAGTAAGGTGACTAAGTTAGTGGGGATCTGTCTGAAGCTAAACGGGCGGGGGGATGTGTGAGAAGCTCCAGGCTATGCCTTGGCCTGCGCTGGGAAATTCCAAGGGGATCGCGAAATCGTGCAGACTGCTGTTCGCGAGGACAGGTCCGGTCCAGAAGCTACCGTAAGCTAGGAGAGTGTTTGTTGACTGCAAAGCACACGAAAGTATTTTTCCTGTGGCGCATGTGTTTTTGTTGGTTTAAGCATGCATCTGCAAATATGTCGTATGATGATTCATGCGTGTATGCAGTGTATGTCCGTGCGTGCCGGATGCTTCTGTGCGCACACGTCGCCGCGCAGGTATTCATGGATGATGCTGATGGAGGGAAGGTGAAATGATATGTTGTTACAGGTCATGCCTCCCTGCACTTCCAGCTTTTGCGTTTTTCGTGGGCGGGTGTGAAGGACGGCAGTGCCTTGGAATATGCCTCCGATGCACTGAAACGCGCTTGGGCCCGGTTTGAGCATTGCAGAGTGCAGCGAGGGCAGGACGGGCAGGATGCGAGCTTTAGTTAATGCCATGGAAAGAAATTGTAGAGGGCTGATAGCGTGACGAGGAAGAGTGCTCGGCATCCGCTAAGGAGACCGGGAAATCGCATTGACTGCGGCTCGATGGAGTGATGCAGCACTGGAGTACGTCGCTGAGTCTTTGTGGCAAGACCGGAACTTTACACGCGCCGTGTTGGAGAAGAATGACGCTGCTTGGGAGTACGATGCTTGGCCATGTCAGCACCGGTCATGTTTTCCGAGAACCCCAACGGGAGCCGGAAAGATATGGAAAGATGTAAGTGCAGTTCGAGGTCAGGAGTAAGGATGAAGACACATTCTCAATTGCTAGCCGCTGGCCGAGAGCGAGTGCTAAACAACAAGGGCACTTCGAGTCTTTGCAATAAGACAGCAGCCTGAGGCGTCGGAGAAGTTGCAGGCCGACCGCCGGTTTCTGCTAGAGGTCCTTCAACTCAATCCAGGCCCCCCGCTGCGATTTTTGTCCCGTTTGTTTGGTGGGGCTTGCAGTTTCGAGCTCTCGACATATTTGGAGTGCAGCTCACGACCCTTTCAGCCCTTAGCTTCATTGAGACTGCACTGGCCGCATCCATCTGAGCCTTCGAGGCATCTTCCGCCGCCTTCAACCAGGCCAGGCTGATGCTGAGCTCGGAGCCCAGTGGGGTTCTGTTGTGGGAGCTCTGCGACAAAAACCAAGACTGCAACACGGCGATGACAACTTCAGATTGGGGTTTGTTGAGTGCTTGACCAGAACTAGCTTTGCACGGCTATTCACAATGTCGAGCTGACAGCGTAACAATGAGGATGCACACCGTGGCGGGGTCGTACAGTGTCGTACTTCCTGACTGCGTGGGTCAAACCATTCCGGACGAAGTGGGTTTCGCGATGTACTAGTCAGACAACCGCTTGAGTGAGAAAATGGTTTCACACTGGGCTGCCACACCCAAGGCTGATCCTCAAAGTCATCAAAGCCACACCTGCAGCCTTTGAGCATCTTCCGGCAGAGATGCGGGACGACCAGGAGTTTCTGCTGCCACTCGGCTCTAATTCGCAGGAGCTGGAGGTAGTTTCCTGGCAGTGAAGCTAACGCAAAATCGCAGAACCCATGCCTGAAGTCATGCCACCTCTTCAGGCGAGCGTTCGCAGCAAACTGCGAGGCCTCTTTGTGAAGCGCGGGCTTTCATGTGTACTCGTACCTGTAAGGAGGGCGGCTCACCCGTAACAGGCTCTTTAGTGTGCTTCCGAACTTTTTGTGTCGATGCGGTCGCTTCAGACCTGCCGGGATTCCTGCAGCTTCACTCGTCAAGCTGCTCTCCGGCCCTCAGGTTGTGGAGTACGTGCCATCATCGGTATTCGCGGATAACGCCTTCTTACTTCGCGCGGTGGAGCTTGAGCCAAAGGTGCTTGCAAGCTCCTCGCGCGAAGCTTCTCGGAGTTGAATGTTGCACCGCTTCCAGTGCATGTCGTTGCTTTGTTGGGTGTTCGCGGCTCTTAGGCTCGCGGAAGCAAGGATATCGTCACCAAAGCTGTGCAGCGAAATCCTGCAGCATTGCAGCATGCCTCAGACTCGCTCCGGATGAGTGAAAAGTTCGTCCTCTCGCTCGTAAAGAAGGATGCGGTTTGCCTGCAGTACTGCAGCGACGAGCTTCGATGTCATGAGGGCTTCAACTTGGAAGCGATCTCGAAGAATCCCGAAGCACGTCACTACGTTTGTGCAGAGCTCTGGCAAGACGAAGAGTTTGTGCTCGAGGCGCTGTCAATCGAAGTTTCCGTGTTGGAACTTGTGCCTGAAAGTGTTCTTTGCAATCGGGCCATCGCGTTGAGGGCAGTGGAGACCACAGGGCAAGCATTAAAATATTTGGATTTGGGCTTCCGCGATGACCGAGAAGTTGTCTTGACTGCTGTCGAAGATGACCCGTCCGCCCTTGCATTTGCTTCCGAGCGGCTCCGGGCAGACACTGGGCTCTTCCGTGCATCAATCAAAGTCGACGGCCTGGCTCTAGAACACGCGGACAGCTGCCTTCAGGACGATCCCACTTGGGTACTCGAGGCCACGCAAGCTGGACCCAACCGTGCGGCAGCTCCAGATTTGTGCCCATTCCGTTTCGCTTCCAAACGCATACGCCAGGATCCGGACTTTGTTTGGCAAGTAGCTGCTGCAGTGGGTGCTGTGGCTCTGGCACACTCGCCTCTTCGCGGTGAAGCACAGTTCGTATCTCGGCTGACGCAAAGGATCCCCGAGGCCATCCAGCACGCTGACGAGAAGTTGCTTGATGATCTCCCCTATTTGCTGTCAATCATTCGGCAGTCCCCTGCAGTACTGAGCTTCGTGCCGGAAGAACTGCGAGCCAGCGCGTCTTTCGTACTGGCATCGGTTCGTGGCAACGGGGCTGCCTTAGACTATGCTCCCAGGCGCTTCCAAACGGAGCCAGAGTTCTTGCGAGCAGCTGACTCTGCTTTTCCTAGCAGGCATCCTTTGGATCACGATGCCTTAGAGAAGCGAGATATCCCCTTGGCACGGCTAGGCGGGGCTGCCACATTGTCGGCTTTTCATGCTGGCAATCGCATTGCACAAGAATGGGACCGACTGGATCATCTCAGCCCCCGCGGCTTGAGGGACGAGTGTGAAATCCTGGGACTGCCTGGAGCTGCTTGCTTGGAGTGGTATGGGGCCTCGTTCCTTCTGATTCGTTTCAAGAAGGTCTGCATTTGGCGAGAAATGCAGCTGCAGGAACTGAAGGTGGAGAGTGACGCAAAGGGCCTGAGAAAAGCCCAGCGGCCTGTAGGACGCGCCGACTCGCACACGCACCCTCAGGGGCCCGATCCCACTGTGAGTCTCCATGTGGGAGCCTGCATCTCGGTGTCTCGGCTTATAACCAAAAGCATGTCTGACATCTACCCTGGAATCTATCTACCTAGGCGACTCACTGGGCATGGGGCTAGGAATTGCCGAAAGGCGATTGCCGCTGCAGCTTGAGGGCACCGCCCTTGCCGAAGATACAGACCATGTTGTGACTCTAAAAAGTGCAGAAATCAATCAGGTAATCCAGGACGTCTACAGCGTCAGCAACCTGAAGCTGAAGTCTGGGCTTCAGGGCACGGTGGTCAGCATCGACAAAGGTGCTGCTTGGAGCTTGCAGGGGTGCTATGGGGTGCTGGATGTTGGAGTGGCGCAAGTGAAGTAGCAATCCCTTCCTGATTGCCTGCGAGGTGGTGATGCCAGGATTGATTTCAACATCGAAACCTTCGCTGGCGGCCTGAATGCCACGCAGTGGGTTTACAAGAAGGCCGCTTGCAGCACGACGCTGGCTTTAGTATTGAAGTCGATCGAATCCAGCCTGGAAGGACTTCGACAAGCTGAGTGTGGATAAGGACGATGAGCTGCTGAACAGCATGCTCAACGAACTGACAGTGGACCAGTTTGCTGGTCTTTACGACGCTTGCCGAACTATTTGCCCCCTGAGTCCATCTCGCTCCGGAGCTCTTGTTGAATGTTTACAGGCAGCGAGGACATTTCTTCCCTGCCTGCATGTTAGCAGAAGCTTCTTGCGCCGAATGCCAGCAGCATAGAGTCGGCATGTAAGTTAAAGGTGGGGAGGATTGTACCTCAAGTGGTTCGAAGGCATGGCACCGAGGGCAGCTGAAGTTCTAGGACGCTGGGAAGCCCTGCTGCACTTGCCTTGTCGGACATGTGAGGAGCGCTTTGGTGTCCCTGTCCGTGATTTGGGCTCCTTCGCGGCGGCCAACGCGGTTACCGAGCGATGGGATGTGGATCGGCTGATATCGGCTGAATGGTAGTTAAGGTGCGGCTATTCGCCATTCGATGTGACCGGATACGCTTGTTTGTGTTTACTTTGTGGGCAGGGGACCAGGGGAGTAGTACACGGCGATTGACACTCCCAGATATAGACTGGCAATTAGACACTTAGCAATGTGTTGAATTTGCTATATGTAGACTGTCAGACTGTAGAAGTGCAAGCTGAGGTGTTGGCCAAAATGAGCGCCAATGAGCTTGCGCTGGAATTCACCAGGCAGCCCTTGCCGAATCTACAACCGACACAACAGAGCTCTCTCCGTTCATCTGTCCGCTCTGCTGGATAGTAAGGAGTGAGGCCGGCAAGTTGAATGGGCACGGTCGGTCGAGAGTCTAGCAACTTTCGATGCTGCACAGATCCGGCGCCCTGTTTCCTTGGAATACCTATAAAATGTCATCACCTCGGCCTAGTCCGTCGCTCCGGCATTGATCGATCTCCGTCACGGTCAGTTTGGGAAAGAGGCAAGGCTGACGGCGTTTTGCCTCACTGGGTGCCCCCGGCCGGCACCGTCGCATGACTGAAAACTCCAACTGCTAGCCCATTGTTTCCTAGCAAGTCGCATGGTATGTAATGGCCGAAAGGCTCCATTCATACGTGAGGAGCCCATTTCTGACAATTTACGTCTGTTTCATGGGAGGCTGGTGGGCATCGAGCCAGACGCCAAAGTCGAACTCGAATCTTGGAATGAATAGTCGCTCCTGACATTTGAGGCTTTCCCGGTATTTTCTGTAGGACAAGCTATGCCGGCTTGGCCCTCGACAAATTGGTTGAGGGTTCCGAGGCAGGAATTATCCAGGACCTGCCAAAGAGGAATCTGATTACGGGGGTGCACTACTGTACCTCCCGCCGAAAGAGGGAGCACTTTAAAGAGGCACTTTGCTCGAGTGACAGAGTTCCGCTGGGAGAGCTCGGGTGGATCCGGGTTGACCCAAGGAGGCCCAACTTCGAAGTGCAGCGGTTTGGGAGGAGCTACCGCTGACAGTGTCTCGGTTTTCGTCTGTGCTGGATCGCTTTGATGGAAGCTTTGATGGTTCGGAAGCGGCTGCACTCGAATCTCCAGTTGCCCAAGAGCTGCGATGTGTGGTTGGACTGGTGGTTGTAGTTGTTGCATGGTGTTGCTGCTATGGCCGGAACGGCCGTCGAGGGCTAGACTTCAAGCCTCGAAGTAAGCCCGGCAGTGCCAGCGAGGCTCTTTTTCGGGAGTGTGCCCGGCGAAAGCTGGCTGGGCCCCTGGAGGCGACTTCCTTCGTGGCCCAGCTGCAATCGTCGAGCTGAAATACGAAATCAGAAGCGGCTAACTGTCTGATCCTGGCAGGCTGATGGCCATTCGGTAAACTACTTTAGACGAGGTTTGCCCAAACTTGTTAAGCTGCAGGCAGTAGGCTTGAATGTTACAATGTTTAAGTTTCGAAGGAACTGCAGCGAGCAGAACTTTGGGACCGCCTGCTGGGTACTCTGTGCAAGGCACGCGGGGTGGCAAGGGTCCTTCAAGGCGGTGACGACGATTTTCGTCTCCCAGATTACCCCACCGCCGCCTACGCATGTCGGTCAACGCACATCATCCGTACGGCAGTGTCAAACGCCCAACTCAGGGACGCCTGCAAGTGAAGTTTGTCGCATTCACTGCACACAATTCGGCAAGCCGTTCAGCAGCAGCTGGGGACAGATGCGTCCACAGTAAACACATGTCCACACACGCCACACTCGCGCACGCATGTATGCACACACTCATGAACTCACGCACTCACCCCTCTCACGGTCGTCGAATGAAGTCCGCGAGCCGAGGCACTTAGCCCAGGCACTTTGGAGTAGACCAAGTAGAAGGTGTGTGTGTGTGTGTTTATATGATGCATATGTATGCAAGTAGGAGAAAGTGGGGACCGAGAGACCCATCAAACGAGCAACCCTCGTCTACGAAGGAAGCTGAAGGAATCTCATCACCAGAGTGTCGGATTTGTTGCGCCCTGCCTGATACGGGCCCTGCGCAACCAGTTCAACTAGGACCTGTACTTAGCCATCGGCCTGGACTTGAAGCTCTTGGTCACCACAAAACGAGCCGCCGAATTATACCGGAGGCCGTGAAGAGGGCGGAGCGAAGCGAGGGAAGAGCGGCTGAGTCTGGCTTGGAAAGCTCCGAGTTTTGTTCAGGGCATGCTTCTTTAATGCTGGGTGAGACCTAGCGCTTCTTGGTTGTATCTTTGTGGCCGGGACCCTTTTGCACCAACTTGTGTTTTGGCACAGTTTTTTTGTCCTATGTACCCATATCAAGGCTCCTTTAGTGGCTGCTTTAAGGTAGTTGGGATATTTGTGTTGTTTTCTTGGACTCTGCTTGTGGTTCGCGTTTTTTTCCTCCCCGGCGCCAATCGAGTGGCTTTTTCAGGACACTATACCAAAAAAACTGTGCCAAAACACAAGGTGTTGCAAAAGGGTCCCGGCCACAGAGATACAACCAAGCCTTGTGACCTTGCAGTTCAGGGCAAGAGTCTGTGTGTGTGATGCTGCGTAAACTTCGAGCTGCGTACACTTCATGGTTTGCGGTTGAGCGTGACAGACGGTGCAAAGAGCATTTTTCCCCAAAGGTAACGTACCGCGCTAGTTACCGTACCTGCATGCACAGGGTAGTGTCGCACAACGCTTGGAACATTCCCGGGTATTCCCGGACGCAGGTGGCGCGAGATTGACGAGCTGCCTGCCCCTGCCTTGCAGAAGGAGTATGCAACCTTTGACCTGCCCAAAGTTGCAGAGATGCTGGGATTCAATCTGGGTTCAATGTAAGAAAAGCGGCCTGAGTAGAAGTTGAAGTTGGTAGGACCCAGACTACAGGGTCCCAAGACTCACGCTTTGCGTGCCTCCACCTGCGATGACTCAGCACTGACATTCCGAGGAAAGAGCAAAGAACTCGAGTGAAGAAGGTTGCCTATTGGGACGCCCTCCCGTTCAATGCCTTGCGGGAGGAGGGCTTACGAGTTGCGAGTCACAAGATGTCACAGGTCTGGCCTCTATATGTAGTATCTTCACGGATTCACGAAAAGAGGAGTGTTGGAACATGGGGATGCGCTCGGCGTATTTCAACTCCGCCGACTTTCATGGTCGGCGTGAGCGTTTGATTCGTGAGGCCGGGTCGACTCTTCATGGGCGGGAGATGAGTGTGACGAAGACATTGATGTTTCTACCATAGGGGACACCTCATCAAGCTTGTATAACCTGGAGGCCACCTGTACAACGTTAATGTAGCTTGTTTGCGGCAGGCTATTTGGTTTCAGTGGGCCCCCAAGACGGAGGGCCAGACGAAGATGCCGAGCGATGCACGGGGCTGGCAGCCGCCACCTAGAGAGCAGGCCAAGGACTCTGCAGTCTACGAAGTCCGTGCAACAAGAGTTCGCGTAGGGCAGACAACCTTGGCAGGACCAGGGACGACCGAACTGCCCCTTCGAGTACATGCCGCCGCCACCACAACCGATGGCTTCTTGTCGGGCAGTTAGAGCGGAGAATGTTCATGCAGCCTCGGCATCAGCTCGGGGGCTTCTCCGAGACACTGCAGAGTGCAGAGTGGCGCGAGGTTCCTACGCACATCCGTCAACATCTTCAGACGTTGCTGCTGCCGCCCAATGCAAGCCTGCGGGACGTCAAGGCGACACCATGCCTTCCACATCCTTCCACTGTAGAGATGTCGTGATGCCTTGGCCAACGCAAGCAGTACAGGAATATGACATGCATGTGGTATCATATGGTAGCGCAAGCACTGCTCCTGCTACACACATGCTACTTGTAAGGCCCCTGTTCTCAGGCCGCCTACAAAAAGCTCGCGCTGAAGTATCATCCAGACAAGATCCTTGCCGTGTCAGATTGGGGCCGACGAGATCCGGGGATTGGGGCTTGTTATCTTCTGTTCAACGCGAGACGGGCTGTTTCTGCCGTCCGCGATTTTTTGGAGATACTGAGATACTGAAGAAGCCCATTTTTAAGCGAGAGGTTCCAGCGCATTCCAGAAGTCCTAGGTCATCATATTGCTCTTGTTCCAAGATCTTCTTGACTGTCGACCGGCAAGGAACAGCAAGGACATGGAGGATCTGGTGACGCAGCGGTTCACGGAAATCCGCTCGGCTTATGACGAGCTGTTATCATACTTTGATGAGCCCGGCTAGGGGAAAATGGAAGTACACGTTTTGAGTAGATTTGGCTGCGCCCTCTCATTCTGGTCTCGCCATGGCCCTACCAGCCCCTTCCACATAGCCACTGTCGACTGCGAGAGTCTATTCGCAGCAGCCGTTCCCAAATCCCCGACAAAGCAGTCTTTTCGATCTGCGTTGATAACATGGAACAGCAGTGCCTCATTATCGTCTGTATGTTGCATCCACACATGCCGTACTGAACCACCCTAACCTACCAGTACCTTGCATGTTATGCTTCTCAGCTCACTCAAGATGCTCTCTTTCGAGACTCTATCACACACGCACACAGAACATCATGTGCGTCCATGGATGTATGGCGACGGCACCTGCACCGGCTCCTCCGCGTGGGCTCCCTATACTCATGCCAACGTTTCGGTTACCAGCTGCAGCACTGTCAAAACTGATCTTTGCTTTGTTGGGCGTGCGCTGTCAGCTCCTAAACTCCGGCGCGACCCCAGCAGTGCATGTTCGATCCAGCATGAGGTTTCAAAATCCCGCATCTCCGCCTTGGGAAAGGCGCGTGAGATCGGCAGAAGAGTATTCTGACAGGCAGCACACGAGATGGCTTACGGAGTCGATCCGCAAAGAGATACTTAATTGACGTTCCGCACACAGCTTACGACAGCACGAGTGCTTTCTCGCTCACATTCTGATGACAGGTTACATTCGCAGAGATATGCAAGAGCATACATTGACAACTGTTTCCGGGAACCCAAAGTTGCCAAAGTTTTGGAGCCGGGGATGCACGCAAAAGCCCAGCTTCCCATTTCAATCAGGCTGCAGTTGTAAGGTTGTAAGTTGTAAAGGCTATTACTATTATTACTTATTACTATTATTACTATTACTGTTAGTTATTGTTATTATTATTATTACTATTATTTTTATTATTATTATTATTGTTCGCCCCTTGGAGGTACAGAATTGGCAAGCAGCCCTGGAGGTGCTCGGACATCTCGAGGCCACGTTTGCGGATAGAACACTGCACCTGGGTTTGCTACGGTGCATCCTGCGAAGCACTGCACATTTTCATTGATGGGGCAGGCAACACCTTTTTGAAGATCGGCGCCAAGCAATACACTGTAGCACAAAGTTAAGCCCTCCGGGCCTGACCCTGACCTTTGCCAGGGCCGCGTCGACTGCGGTGTCGTTGGGGCCGGCCTGGGTGCCCTGCAGCGCGGACGGGCATGGCAGCGTGGCCGAGTTACGGAAGCCACACAGGCGCCGTCAGCATATGCAGATGCAGAGGAACGGGTCATCTGGACCGGGGAAAGGTTGCAGAATCAGGACGCAAGCGCTTTCATTGACTTGAGCAGAGTTTGAACAGCACAGACATGTGCCTCGGTAGTCATAGTGAATTTTCGCCCAAGCTGTGAGACTTGACTAAAGGCCCAAAGTAGGATCTCCGCCCCAGGGATCGTAGGGGTTGTTTGGGCTAGATGGCTTTCGCTTTCGCAGGACTTGATTACTCACGTGAGATCGGCGAAGATCCATGCGTTACTGGTTGACACATGGTGTTTTTCCTTTCTACTAAATAAGTCGGATGCAGCTCTCCCCTTGCTTGGTCTTGCACCCTCTCTCTTGTTTCGAACGAGTTTCCCTGCGGTGCGACATTGTCAGCTGGGCGGTGCGAAAACGGTAGGACTACGAGCGACGGCATCTGAAAATTAAAAAAGCAACAGTACATCCCTTCATCGCCAAGGCGACACTCACTGGCGCTTTGTTTGGATGCTCAGAGGCTGGCGAGCACTTCCTTGCGATTTGGGGCTTTATGGTCAGTCGAAGATCAGGTACGCCAGGGCCAGGATTCGCTGTGCGCGATGCTTTGAGATCTCAGCAGAGCACAGCCCGGAAATCATTCCTCTCACCCGAAGCAACACACAGCCACCCATCGAGAGCGGCAAGGCCTCGACTATAGGTGGAATGTGTTAAGGATAAGGCAAGTTTGCAGCCAGGTCGCTTGACACATCTTTTACGGGTTTACGATGGCTAACAGCTAAGGAGCTCAAAGGCTTCGAGATACACCCACTGCTTGCGCCTTTCCAAGCCGCGAGGTGCCGAGTTGCAGATGCCGCTGCCTTTGGGACTGCGGCCATGACGCTGGAACCTGGGCTTTGGTCCGAAAATATCTTAGTCTTAGATGCCACCGTGCCCTTACAAATGCGAGGAATTCTAGGAACGTCTAGGAGTGTAGGATTGCCCCTCGGTCCCGAGTGCCATGCTATCTCGATCTTCTATGATCTTCTGCCGCAGTGTCCCTTCCAGAATCGCTTTACAGCCCGATTGGATTGGCGGGCACACCCGACACCATGAGACAGGAACAGTGCAGCCGCTGGTCCCACTCTACCCAGCTTCTTGCGACGACTTCCTTGCAATACGTCGTTCGAGATCTTTGGATGCAAGTTGCACGCTGTTAGGATTGTCAAGAAGTACAGGTGACCGGATGCACCAGGGGATTGAATGCCCCCGATAATTGAGTGCGCATGTGTTTCCTTGACTCGACCTCATTGAAGACGGCTTTAGATCCCCCACTGTTAACTGCCACGTGTTGGTGCTGTAGATGCTCGCTGCATTACATGCCAAGTGGCAGTTTTCATCACCTTGTTCCTCTGCCCAGCGAGAAATGCACTATCTTGCAAAGAGACACCCCCGAGACGACCAAAACCGACAAGTTGCCCCTCAGGGCGTCTCAAAACGGAAGCGATATCATGGCATTGCGCAACGCACACCGCCTGCAACACGCGGGGTAGACTTTCACAACCCGCTTTGAAGTACAGTCGGAACACAAATCGCAGCCTAACTCGATCGTCATGTCTTCAGGCCACCAACGCCGTATTAGCGGCGTGCAGGGACGGCGGCTTTTCGCGAGCAAGGAGCGGGCAGAAATGGACAGGGATTCAGACGGGTCCACGGGGTGTAGTGACAGTGTAGTGCCGACGAGTCGGCTGCTGCGCAGCACGGCAATGCACGGCATTGCGTCCTTTGTTTCTGGGTTCCCGTCAAAAGGGACCCACATGGACCCACAATTTGCTGGCAACTTTGAGACGAGCCGAGATGTATGTCGAGCTGAATACATACTTTACTACTTGTAACTGGTACTAATCAGGCTTGTGAGGAGCACTTGCGTTCGGAGCAGAGTTTGGTAAGTCTGGTCCCTACTTGCCTGCCGATGCCTCAGCAGCATGGACAGCCGTATCTAAATGATTTCGCGCCTTCGCAAGACTTTTTGAGCACGGGCTCGAGAACTCAAGCCTTGAACCACGAGCAAGATGCACCTGGCACAGGTCGTTGTTCGCTTCCTTGGGGGCTCGACGAACTACGCCGGACTGCAGACAAGCCAATCTGTTGGTGTCCAAAGCTATGGAAACCTGAGCGTGAACACGACCACAAGCAGGATGTCGTCACGTACAACTCCATCATCAGCTGCTCAACCGGCTCACGGTGCCTTGCCTGTTTGTGCTTTTGCCGGGCTTTGCCACGAAAGTTTGCAATGCTGGTAAGATTCAGGTGTCGTCATGCTACATGTACATCCATATGCCGAAGATCGCATGTGAGAGATATCGGACTACGACAGATTACTTCAGGTGGCCCTGGGCTCTGTGGTATCTTTACATCTTGACGACCCGAAGTGCAGCGCAGCCAACAGAGGCGCGGAAGCAGAGATCTTGAGGCTTTTCAAATTTTGGTTTCTCAAAGCGGTGTCGCTGTCAATGCTGTCAGCTGTCAACATTTTCGGAATTCCTGTCGGCATTCCCCTGAGCAACTTGCGACCGCTAAGTTTCGCTAAGCTAACTCAAAATCCAGTCCAGAAACAATGACATGCAGCGCAGCGAGTCAACGTTGCTCAAGAACCCGGCCTATGCAGGCCACCTTCGCCAGCGCCATCCACGCATGCGCAACAGGTCCGTCATGCAGCTTTAGAAAATCAGGAATTCGGCATTTGCTCTGCACGCAAGGGCTGCATTGCAAAGTGTGCTGGCCTGCTGAACTGCCGAAACCAGACAGCATTCACTTCACGTCCGCACAAGCAGGTACCGCATGGCGCCGTGCATTGGCCTTGCTGGGGCAACTGACACCACATTCCCTGCAGCAAGGCACCTAGAACGGCCCAGAACCTGAGAGATCACCAAACCCGGTTGCTCAGATCATGGTCGTTCCTTTTTTGTGACTGCACCCTGACTCGAACTATCTGTACTTGTGCACCCTACGGCCTTCCCCAGGCTTGTACTCCTGCGCCCAGCATCTTTGAGCCAGCTCGCCCTTTTTGACTTTGAGGCATGTCCATAGACATATTCGTGAGAATCCGAGGCCAACGACCGTGATCTTCGGCGCGCTTGGGCCCACAGAGCAGATCGGGGATATGAATGTTTGCGAATGCCTTTGCCACCGTCGACTGATTTCAGCTCTGCGTCTAGCAACGGGTAGAAAAGGAATCTGATGGGTGCGGCATGCAGGCAGACGCTGTGATACTTGAGCCACATGCTGGGCCGTAGTCAGCCGTAGTCCTTCCTGAATTTAAGCACCCTGTTTTGTATCCCACGGTTTTGGGACAGAGTCTCTTGGAAGGCTCAGATGGATGTGTTCGGACCACACACCGTTCACCAAGCACTGGAAATCACGAAGCCACTGCTCCGTTCCTCGAGGTGCATCGACGCATGCGCAAAGGCGTCGTGAACCCAGCTGGGGCCCAGCCGTACATCCAATTCCAGATTCAAGCGAAGGCTGTACTGTACGTACGATGGCCACGAAGTTGACATCTGAGGCGGCAGTGGCATCGGGCAGCAATGCTCCTGCAAATCATGCCCTCACAGAGGCAGATGGCTTTGGGCCTTCCGGAGTCGTTGAGCATTCGGTTGTTGATATTCCTTGGAAAGGTCTCGGAATACAGACAGGAAGCAGCTGTTTTTGGCACGGGCACGTCGACGAAGGGTCTGCATGTTCCGTAATTGCAAATCGTGCCGAATGCCAAAGCCTTTGGTCTAGGCTCTTTGAATTTGTGCACCGCTCAGCCGGGCAAGTTTGATGCTGGCTTTTCGGGTTTAGGCCTTCTGATAAACAGCTTTGGCTTTGCCCCGAGTGGATCCTAGCTCTCCGAACTCGTGAATGCACCCCCACTGTCGGACAGCTTGGTGGCCAACACACTCACGACAAACGCCTTGCTGACCGCCCTGGCCACGGGTAGCCGCTGGCAGGAGGTCCGGGCCCCAATGCAGTATGCAAAGGAGCTTTGGGATGTGAACGATGGATGGGGTCTGCTTCCATAGTGTAAGAGGTCCTCCAGACTTTGGATCCGGCTTCCTAACACAAGCAACAAGGATTTTGCCCAGCAGCATTGCTCACTACGGTCTGCAGTCCACGAGCTTGTTCGTGTCTCACAAACCACAACAGACCTCATCTCCACACTTGGGCCTACTAGTCTTCTGCGGCCATGGGAAGCAAGGCTTTCCGGAGCTTGTCGTGTGGATGCTCTTGGTGCGCTGAGGAGTTTCACTCTTGCACGCTCTGCCAGCGCACTGTTGAAAGCATTTCAAAGCAGCTCTATCGAATGCAGGCACTCTCTCTTTTTGAGGGGGCCGACAAGGCGCAGGGTCTGCCGGAAATGTTGAAGTTTCTAGCCACTCCTTGCTGCAGTAAGGACTTGCCAGCTTTAAATGTCAGCTGATGTCAACCACTCATAAGAGCAGCCCTGCTGGGATTTGCACTTCGTGGCGTCGTTCCCTGCAGCAGGATGGTGGATCATCGCCGGCCACGTATGGTGCTCTGGCATGTACATGGAAACCCTCGAATGTCCAATCACACGCAGATAAGACCAGTCGTGAGGCTGAAGCTATTTGGAGTTGGTAGCATGCCGATCAATGCCTGTCAGTTTGTACATCCTGGACAGATCGGAGAAAGGGTTGACCGCGTCCGTTGGTTGCCGCTTTGCGTGCATGTGCTTATCGGCTCCTGCAAGGGGCCGCATGTGCTGCGATGGCCGCCGGTGCAGTTTGGAGGCAAGCACCTCAGGGCCACCTCATAGAAAGTTTGGGACAGACAGGTCTTCAGCACGCTTGCCATAAGCCGGAGCTTGTGTTGAGAAACTCCAAGACTGTTCTGGCCAGCCATGCAGCGCCGTAAGACGAGGTCTGCCCTGGACCTCCTGGACCTGCCAGACCGGCCTGTAAGATTGTTTCATGCGGTTCAAACCTTGTCGGCCGGCCTTCAACTCTGCAACCCTCCACCACAAATCGTTGCTGTCAGAAAGGGACCGATTGCTTTCAAGTGGCTTTGGTTTGTGTTGTTAGCTTCAACTGCCAGGATGCATCGCCGAAGCTTTGCCAGAACAATGCAGGTGCCTCGCACGGGCTTCTTCGCCTGTATTCCGTGATGTTCCATGCTTCCGGTGAGAGAGAAATTCCCAGGAGGCCAAGTGCAGGACAGCTCTGCAGTCTGAGGATTAGGACTAAGATCACCTTAATTATCATAACTAGGCTTTTTGGGCACAGTATAATTTAGAGTGCCTAAAATGTTTGAAAAAATATCTGGGGACTACCTTTGATATTGTTGCATGTTTCAGGTACAGAAAGGGACTGAAAGCCGTGAGGAAATAGCTCCAAGCAAAGGGGAATCACCCAGCTGAAGCCGATGACGACAGGTTTGGCATTCGGCACAGACTGCAACTTGATCGCAGCATTGGCTCAGATGTTTCATTCAGCTGCAGAATGCTGCAGAATACGAGGAACTCCAGCTAATGGGTTTTTGGTGCGGCGAGCGATTGAAAGGTAGCTACCCAGGTCACGAACTGTCCCGATGTTCTGGTGATTGCGAACGACAAGGATCAGTGCCTGTCTGACACTGCAGGCATATGCACGCAAAATGGCAATATCCGCGATGTAAGGCGACAAGGTTTGAATGAGGACCTGCGATTCAGGAGAATACTTGCGCTAAGCAGTGTCTAGCTCTGCAGAAACCTTGCCGTGCTGCTGCACCATCCGTTCTGCACAGTTTCTTCTGAAAAAGAAGGCAACGAAATGGATGGCCATCCACGGTCATGTAAACCAAGAAGTGGAACTTGCGGAACAAGTTCTCCTTCTGCACCTGATTGCACAAACAAGGCATGCTCCAACACCGGCCAATGGACGAAGGTGCCACGGGGAAAAATGGTTCGTTGTTTGAAGGGTTCCGATGGTCGACCTTCCCTGCACATGCTACGGCCATTGCGATTCCAAGACAGATTCTGACGGCCCTTGAAATTGCGCATATCCATCCCTTACATCTTCGATGTTGACGGAACGTCCGAAGCACACTTCCGGCTATCGTTTCAGTTCCCATAAGCGACTCCTGCGTTAACCCAGGGCTTCAAGGTGGCTGCTGCCAGAGGCTTCGGGACTCCTACGTAGGAGCTCGACGGAACAGAAGCGAAGCCGAAAAGACCACAGGTGCTCCAGCTCCTAGAGGAAGCATCCTGCGAGGTGCCTCGTCTTGGGCAGCTGATCCTCAAGGAAAAGGTTGTTACTATTGATGATTCTATTTTTATTCTAGCCTCGGTAGTGGCAGCGGCTCACGCAGCATGATTGATGCATGGGGCCTGACGATCTGGAAATCGGGAGCGGAGGCTCGAATGTGAGTAAGGTGCCCTTGGACCTCGCGAACTACTTGACCGCGTTGGCTTCAGTAGAGCGAGGCTTCCTGCAGTTCCCGTGCTAGGGACCCCCAACCTCCCGAGCACTCCAAACTAGTCGAGGTAGCGAATCTGGCATGTTCTCCAAGTAGTTCGGCCAATATCAAGTTCAGCAGCGCAACCTGGCGGAAGTGAACGGTCTGCTTATGGTGCCGAGCGTAGGTTTTTGCACACGCTGCTTTGGAGCCCCAAGACCGCTCAAGAGCCGATGATGAACGGCCGGGTGGTGCGGGTGTGATGACGACGATGTTATGTTTTTGCAGGTATGTGTTCACCGCTGTGTTTCATGATTGTTTCTCGATGTTGAAGCTTCTGCAGAGGAAGGGGTGGTCCTTGATGCCAGGACATGCTCGCCGAAGTATAAACATAAAAAGTATGTCCACAGAGACGGGGTTTGTAGCGACAGCCCGGATCACTGAAAGCCAAACAGCACGTCACGTCCGTTTTGTGGAGGTGGCTGTGCCCATCACATTTCGTCGCTGCTGAGGCGAATAGCAGGCCGGGTGCATATGGCACATGTGTGGAACACGGTCAGTCTGTCGGAATAGGCGCGATGTAGTGGCAATTGCATGAGTAAATCCGCTCTATCGTGTCTGCTGCAAGTGATGCTAGTGCATCTATGGAGCCTAGGGCACACGGTTTGCTCTGAAATCCGCTGCGTCGGCACGACTACAAGGGGGGAGGCTACAGAAATCTCTCGCATGTCAGTGAGCAGTCTTGATGCTGCCTACGGCTCCGGACTAGTGAAAAGCTTGGCTTGCGTCTGTACACCCCAGGTCCAGACGGGTGTTGTCCTTAGGCACTAGGCGCGGGCAGGTCGAAAAAGGAAGGAAGTCAGTGAGTCAGGGAAAGTTCTGCAACTCAGGCCGAGGCTATGGCCTGCTTGTCGGACGAGCAGGCCTGCCACAGCCATGCATGTACCTACACTAGTCTCAGCCATCGATGCGAAAGCAAATGAATTTGTCATCTCTTCGAGGAAATTGAAAACCCTTTCCGAAGACATCTCAAGTAATGCAGTACTGTACCGTTGTACAGCATGGGAATGTGTGGCCGATGCACGTGCCAAAAAGCAACAGACAGCTGCGCAGGAGAGACACCGAGTGATACGGAGCTGCTCGGCTGATATGAAGGAGGTGACGTGAAATGCCTGGACACAGGTGTGCGTTGACTTTGGTCTTGTTTTGAGCACTGCAACTGATAGCTTGTAGGCTGTAGACTGTATAGGTTCAAAGAGCTGGACTATGCCTATGCCAGCTTAGACACCAAGAAGTGAATGGCCACAAAAGAGCATTCCAGTGGCACCTCGCAGAGTTCTGCCCGTCTGCCCCATGATGAGGCTCCAGGACGATGAAAATCAGGCGACCGTCGAATCCCGTAAAGCTCTTTTCTTGTGGAGCTCAGCATGAGACCCTGAACAGCAGGATGCCCATGCACTGATCTTCGCAGTTAGACCATTGAGCGATTGTGAGAGTCCAATGAGACCTTTCGGGAAATCGCGCCCTAGAAGGCACATCCTGGACTCTGCAGTAGATCCATCAAGCAAGGACGTTTTGCCTGCCCGCTTCGCATGAGCAAGGCATCCTGAGGCACGTTGTTGTGGGTTATTCAAGGTAGATCTATCTGCATACTCTCAAATGGAGCTTCAACAAAATCAGAACCTTGAACAGACCTTTGGAACCCCACTGAAGCACATGCTGCACTCTCTCGGTAGTTTCGGAAAGGCTGCTGATGCATCCTGCAGACTGTCAGCACTACTGTAGACCTACACATGGCTCCGCGCGCATCCATAGATGCCATAGATTATACTGTGTGTCCTGTGCCCTGAGTCCTGATTTGCAAGCGTTTGTTTCTCAGCTTGACGCCCAGGTTTCTCTTGCAGGCCCTGGGCACCTTGCGCCGCCCCGGCTGGACAAGCTTCATTGCTCGGCGTTGGTGTTCGGTGCACTGAAGTAACGAGGAATATCAAAGCTTATCCGGTTATGTTGGCAGACTACCAGAGCAGCAAGCCTTGTTTTGCTTGGCTGTACTAAAGGCAGCACTCGGGCCAAGACATGCCCATGTAGTGGCACAAAGCATGGTCGGACTCAACTACATGTACAACAACCTGGCCTAAATATCGCTCGCGCCATCTTGAGGACGAGCGCACACATTCTCGAAGCAGCATTGTGGCAATCTTAAGCACGAACTGTGGCCAGCGCACATGGCTGGAGATCGAAGCCACACATGCGCTTTGCACATACAGCGCCTACAATTCGGGCTCTCTGAGCCGAGGAGATCACTGGAATTCTGACCTTCGCCTCAGGTGTGGCTTTGGTGCGCACTTGTGTCTTACCAGCTGCACGAAGACTCGGTACTGATCGAGCGTGGACTCAAGCACTCCTCTTCTTGGCTTGCTGTGCCAGTGCAAACATGTCGAGTTCTGGACCAAGAAGCACAAAGCTCTGTGAAGCCTGGCTCTTTTGTGACCGCTCCAGGGCAACCTGGTTGGAGCGGCTTCGCCACGATCATCTATGCAGGGCTTCTAAGTGGCATTGCGTCGCGAAGAAGTTTGCAGCTTAGCCAAGCTGATTGAGTCTGGCTTTGGTGCTGCATGATGTTGGAGCGTGCCGGGGTTGGGTGATCGACATCTCGAACCTTGTGAAACGTTATTTTGTGTTATCAATTGAAGCCAGTAAATTAAACTCAAAACCATAATATAAGCCTAGCGTCAGTTCCCTGTCTAGCAGGGTCGACCCCGTGCGATTGCCAACAGCTGTGATGGGCATGGCAGTAGCTTTTATTCGGGACTCCGACTTTTTGGTGTTGCCCTCTCGGTTGGGCTATGTTACAGCTTCTTTTCCCAATTTTTGACATGCATAATCTTGCCTGCGTGCTTGGACCTGCGGCTACTGTGTCGCCTGGTGATCCTTGTTCTTCAGCACAAGTTCTATTCGTTCGGGGCTGCTCTGCCTGCGCAGGAGCCATGCCACTCTTCTCGTTGATGTCGCTTCACACTGTAGTATCATACCTACAATGACAATGAGTTGAAACCCAAACAGCAGAGATGACAAGCGGACAGAGTTGGCTTTGTTCGGCTTCCAGCACGCCAAGTGCTGACACGCGAAAGCCAAAACGCACTATGCCCACAAGTTCCTCTCAGTTTAGTAAGTAGTCTTGTATAGATCCTGTGAAATCACTGACCCTGCACGTAGATACCCAAACAGTGACAGAGCAAAACGACCACCAGGACCACCACCGACCAGGACGACCACGATCAGAAAGCGTGAGGAGGAAACACGCGGAGAGCACCCGTGAGCACCAAGGCACGACCAGGAAATTACCGGGAGACCACCACAACACCTTGAACACCACCCAGAGACCAAGAACCAGGAGAGCTTCGTGGGCTTTGGTTCCCCCCTGCACTGGCCGACTTCAGAGACACCTCACCACAGCGGAAACTTCCGCAAGCGTCGTGGGCTTTGCTTCCCCCCTGCACTGGCCGAATTCAGAGACACCTCAGTGGTAGTTGGCGGAAGTTTACGTGCGCGCCCACGGGCTGCTCGGGTGCTGCTTCCCCATCTGCTGGCTGAATTCGGAGACACTTTACCAGCCTTACCACAGCGATGGTTGGTGGAACCTTCTGTGCTCCTCGCTGCCACACCACCTCTTTTGCACCACAGATTTGAGGAATGCAAAAACAGCCTATCTAAATCTATAAAGTATATGTGAAGCCTGTTCCGTTGCTGCGCAACTCAATGAGGTTCGTTTGCATCGGTCTCAACCTCCGAGTCGCCAGGACCAATCCGGGCCGTCTCTTGGGCTTCACATAGGAAAGCTTTGGGCTTTTGGGGTTCTTGGTCTGTTGCAAGAAGGGTTTGGAGTTTCGAGTGCTGCGAGACAATCGAGTTTCGCAAGTCCACAGTGGTTTTCAAGATTTCCAACTCAGCATCGCAGTCTGAGCCTGTAGTACCATGCCATGCCACAGTCATGGCAAGTAAATCTCCAGCGATAGTACCCACACTTGCTCCTTCGGCCTTCTCCAGGTTCCCCGGCTACTTCGAACAATTTCGTTGGCAACATGTCACGTGGAGCAGGAGGCAAAAATGGCACGTGGCGCCTGATGTTTCCCATACACTCGCCTTGGGGATTGGCCGGGCTTCTTTCGTGCTCGGAGGGTACGATCAAGGGTTGTTCGCTTGCAAGTACTCACTCGTATATGCAAAGGGGGAGCAAGAAGCACTTTCGGATCCAAAGGGCTGTGGACTCTCGTGACTGGCTCTGTTTTCCACTGAAAGTCGCCCGCCGTACACCCATACTTGCATCTCGTAACCCAATAAATTCCCGAAGCGCACAAGAGCGGCTAGAGGTGGCATCACGCACTCACCGTTGTGTTGACTTGAACTTCCGAATCACATGGCCTTTGGGGTGCTCGAGCACTTAGTGGAGCAGCGTGGCAGGCGTGGCATCTCCAGCAGGTCCATTGGTTTGAGGAACAAGTTAGGGCGGGTGGGGGGCACACCGAAAGTTGCTGGGTTTTTCGCTCTTTCCGGAAAGTGGTTTGCAGATGCCCTTTCAACACGGTGGGAAGCTTTGACGACAAAGGCCCCCGTATGGAAGACATCATGCGCTTGCACATCCATTTTTTCCAGTTTAGACAGTGGTTTGGCGGACAAGACATGTTTGCCGTGTTTGGTGTGCTGCGCAAGTCTCAAGAGACACAGGCGGTGTGACGGGGGCAAACATGTCTGCTTTTAAGCCAGCTTCTGTTCCTGCGCAAGAGGCGAAGTTGTAAACCCTCCGCCTGCGCAGCCTGAGCTTATGTACCCCTTTTTTGCGGCCTCATTTTCGAGTGTTTTGCTGACTTCGTTTTTGTTCCGCAGTGTCCCTCCACTCCAACCGATGACCGAATCCATGGTCCACTCCAGATGAGTTTGCAAATTTTCAGCCCCGTCATGCCATCTTGCATGTCGAAAGTGAGTTCAATGTTGTGTATCAATTACTTGCCGATTGTTTGCCAAGTGTTTGCCACTTTTGCCAATTCATTCCTAGATACTCCGCATAAACCGTGTCGATCACTCAAATACTCAGCGTACACGGTATCGATCACTGCAAAAAATGAAAGCCTTGCGTTTTTCGTTTTTCATTTTTTGGGCCAGCCTGAGATGACCCTGGAAGATAGCCGGTCATTCCGCGTGCTTTGGGCGAGACCCGCTTCGCATCAGCTCGAAAGCAGCTCCGGAGCTGTCCGTATGACGGTTTGGAAAGGTGGCATCCCTGCCGGTTCTTGCATTGGAATGTTGCAAGTCATGGCTACGATGAAGGAAGCGGAAAGCCCAACGATGAAAGTCATTCGTCAGCCATGTAAAAGCTTTCGGTGTGCAGGCTGCCAATGCCCACATGTGTCCTTCATGTGGCTCGACTTGATCAAAGCGACGCACGTCAAAAGTGATGGGTTTGTCATGAATGTCAGGCCACGATCCTATGAGTTCTCGATTTGTTGGTTTTCATATGGACCTGTCCCGGAGCATCGCCGTTTTCATTTTCCACCCAAACTCGACCTCCGGCAAATCAAAAAATGACGGATCTGCAGGCATCTTCATTATCTGATGTTCGAGAGATTCCAGAAACGCCTCCATGAGTGTCGAGTACCAGGGTGCAATACTTTTCATTCGCGCCTGGGCCGATGGCTCTGGTTCGCCCCTTGCGCTTCCATTTCGACGACCATTCATCCAGCAGATGCACCAGGTTCGCTTCAATCGGTTCTGCATGAACGGCGGCGGCCAGAAGATCGATGTCCATTGTCTGCTTTTTCTTACGCGATGAAACAGATTCATGCTGTCGAAGAAAAAATTGACTGGCGCTTGTGGCTTTCATGCATCCAAATTAATTCATGAAACGAACTCAAAATGGTGTTGGAACGACTTGTCTGGGACTTGCAACATAAACAAAATTGTTGGAAGACCTCGTATATGAGGCTGTCCAGCAAGTCTTCCTTCTGTACCTCGGGCTGTGGCGCGGGCTTACAAGGGACACACTTGAGGCGATGCATCCTGTAGCTTGATGTCGCGGGCCTCCATCAGAAGGCCACACTGCTGCCCCATGATCCAGAGCTGCCGCACATCGATCGCAACCAACGCCTTACGTCCTCTGAGCTCAGCCGGCGGATTCATCAATCTGTTCAAGCTGGTGTCCCAAAACCGGACCCTGGCCAGGTTAACTTTGAGCTTCAAGCATCTTCTCTGGTTGCGAGTCTGCTTGATGCAGGTTGGAATCCATTTTTTTTGGCGGCGACTTGGGTTGAAGCCTGCTTCTCCAGGCGATCCACGACCTTTTGCATTTCGGACGTGAGCTCACCAGGCTGACGCGTTCGGAGGCTCAGCAGGCAGAAATTTGCCGCCCTTCTGGTTGGTGAGCACGTCGCCAAGTCGGAGATCCATTGCTGAAATGCGTGGTTCCATCAAGTTTGGCAGTCGATCTCTTTTCTTATACGGTGAAAAAAAGATGTCCGGCTAGAACTGGAGGGAAGCATTGCTCTGCAACCTCTGCTTAGCCTGCTATTGTGGTGGATTTTTTGTTCTGTTATGGCGAGCCTCATGGAAAAAGAAGATCGTGCCGTAGCCAATGCCGCGACGCCTGCTGGAGCTCTTCTCTGGAACAGGATCGATGGGCCGAGCCTTTGAGGAGCTGGGTTGGGAAGTCATTTCGCTTGACGTCGACCCTTAAGGCCAGCCCGACCATCTGCGCAGCCATATGCAGTTGGGAGACCTTGCCCATGTTCTCGCCAGGCTATTTTGATTTCATCTGGGCAAGCCCTGTGTGCACAGAGTACAGCAGGGTCTTGACAAGACGCCCCAGGCGGTTGGAAGAAGGAGACCGATTGGTGCTTAGAACATTGCAGATAATCCAAGAGCTGCGGCCCAGGTTCTGGGCCATTGAAAACCTTGCCACGGGTCTGCCCATGCCGGCCCTTCATGGCGGGACTGCCGTGGCAGGATGTGAGCTATTGCACTTACGGTACTCTTATCTCAAGCTCACCAGGATCTGGAGCAACTTGGACCGGGTTCCCGAGCGACCCGTCTGTCTTGTTGGCGGCGCTCGTTGCGAGCAATCCGAAAGCTTTGGTCGCCACCTATAGCGCAAAGATGCGCAAAGGGGTTCTTGTCGCCGCAGTGGCAAAGTCATCCAGAACTGCCAAACTCAAGACCAAATGTACTGCATCCCGCCGGCCTTGTGTCGGGAGATCGCCTCTGCAGTCAACGCTAGGTCGTGACGAGCTCCGCTTAGCTTTCTTGCCTTTGCTGCCTTTGTTCTCCAATGTATCGATTCTACCTTGAAGCTTCTTGCAGACACCTCACAGCACCACGATCATTTTTTGATAGTCCAAGGCCACCAGGTCCCGCCCGTCCAGGCTCTTGGTTCGGCACAGGGCTTCGCCCAGGGGTCCGGTGACTTGCATGTCATGGGCTATGAAGGCCGCCTGATCCTTTGAGCCTTCGATGCGATTGTAGTACAGCGGCTCCAGCTGATCGAAGGTCTCTTGTGTGTGGCAGCTTCAACAGCTAACTAGCATCAGCCTGACACAAAGCCAAATCTTAACACCTTAACCCTTTCTTATTCAAGCACCGCACCCTCTAGCTGCAAAGACGAACTTCAGCCTTTAAACGGCCAGATTCAGGCCAGAGCGTGGCTCGTTTATGGATGCAAAGTTTAAGGTTGAAGGTTTGAGGTTCAGGGCTCAGGCTTCGGTCTAAGGAGCAGATGTGTGAAGATTTGTCATGCGGGCTAGCAGCTGTTAAACGTTACGTTAGGCCTTGCACTCCCAGGTCAAACTCCCGATTCGCCACCTAGTAGTTTCCCCCGAGGTCCAGGGCAGGGTCGTGCAACTGATGGGATTTGGCTACTGTAGGTGTTGTGACACGGTCAGGCGTTTGAGCGTTGCAGCCCAATTCAACATTGAGGAGCATGAACCTTTGTCAGCACTGCCACCCTGCAGGTTTTAACGTGGCTCTCAGTACAGTACCCAGAGTTTGCCCGCGCTTGCTTGCCATGCATCACTCCGGGCGTTACATGGCTGCCTACTGGCTGGTGGCCTGCTTTATCCCAGGCTGAAATGTAACATTGGAAATCCATTTGAGACACGTTGCAGGAGAAGCACCGGCGATTCATGTTGGTAATGAGTAAAGCTCTGAAGTATTCGGAAGAGGGTTCAGACTAAGCTTGGGGACCGCCGGCCTTCTTTTGGGAGTTCTGGCCCTGGCCTTCTTCAGGGACTTCTGAACTTCTTTGAGGACTTCTGGCCGTCGTTGGACGCATCCACAGCCATATCGCAGTCACCTTTCTTTTTCGTTGTAATTAATTGCAAGATGCCCGAATCAGGTCCCTACATAGCAAACTGCATTCATCATGACTGATATGGGGGAGTGTCTGTTTCCAAGGCAACGAAGCCTGGAGGGTGTGCAGGACCCTGTATCCTCAAGCCTAAACTTCTGAACATCCAGCTCCGCCAACACAATCTTTTTTTGAATAAACTCCCAAGAAGGCTTGTGCAATGAAGTTACCATACCATGGACAATGCACATGACACAGTTTTTTGATTTTTCCCGAAAGCTTCGCGAAGGGTTCTTCCGTGCGGAGCCCTTCAGAGTAAGTACATCGAGTGAAGTGCATCGAGTCAAGTGCATAGTACACAGAATGAAGTGCATAGTACATAGAGTGAAGTAGGTCAGAGTGAAGTACACAGAGTATACATCCGATTTAGTACACAGAGTGAAGTGCATAGGTCTGTGTACTATGCACTTGATATTATGCAC